AATTATATATAAAAATTGTCTATTTTCAAACTTTTACCTTTCAAACTGTATTTATCTTTTATTTTCTGTAGAAAAAAAATTTTTTTAAATTAATTATATATATATATATATATATATATATAAGTAAAATTTCATATAATTTTTTTATCAAATTAAACAAACAAAATTTTTTATGTCAATGCTAGAATATTTGGATATTGTGCATTACAAGTTCCGAAATCTTGAATAAATTCCTTATGAGTGCGTGTATCTCTAAAGGATCCATTAGAGTTCTAGAATCTTTAAAGAAAGTCGTTCTATCTAACTTCGTATCTATCTAGCAGACGTCTGGTAATCATAAATATCTCTTCTTCGACAAAAGAAAGATTCTTTAAACGAGGGAATGACGTGCCCACCGTTTCGGGAACAAAAGTTCGTGACTCTTCGTAGAGGCGCGCGTTGGTTTTTACCGTCATTAATCCCAAAGATAATATAGCGACGGTTTCTTTCGTCGGTGTCGCTGCTGGTCCAGAGATTATGGATATAGTTTCCTCACGCGTCGGACGAAAAAACGCGACGAGAGAGTTCCTCGACTCATTCGGTGAACGAACAAATACGACAATGTCAAGACATTGAAAGATATAAATACGAAACAAGAAAAAAAGTGCGATTAATCGGTTTACAAATTAATCGGTTTACAAATACTCCGGAATCAATGCAATGTTAGATAAAAAATATATTATTTATAATATATGTATTATTTATATTTTATGTTATTAATAATATATGAAGTTTATAATATGTTATATATGTATATAAATCATTTAAATTTATATATTATATATTATATTATTATAAATTTATATATTATATTATTAACAGTATATAAATTAATTATACAATTATATATCTATATTGCTAATAATAGATTAATTATTAAAAGATTTTTCTTTTGAGATTTGGTAAAGTACGAAACAGGATTTATGCCATAATGCTGTTATGCGGTAATATCGCTTCATCTAAATAGTCTTGCGTGAATAGCAGATTTGCCAAAAGCGGGAATTTCCTGCCAATCAAGTAAAATCCTCTTTCACGTCCCGACTCTCAGATTGGTGTATAACGTGGCATACGGCGTCTCTCGAAAAGGCAACGAGGCTTTGATTTACTCTCCCTCCCCCCTCCTCACCCATTCAAGACGACGTTACGACGGCGCGTTTTCTCCTTAAATGGACGTCCGACGTCTGAGCGACATTAGAGTTCTCGGTCAAAGCCAAAGTCACGGCGAAGGTTTCCATCCTTGATGTTTTCTCGAGGAGACACTGCGGGGACCGCGAAAGGTCGGAGAGGAAAAAGGAGATTCGAGATAAATACACCCAAGATTCTTTTCTTACATCGCGTCTCTCTCGTTTTGCGGACCGTTCAAATAACTAGATCAAAATGATGATGTGCGTAATACGCGATCCCGTTGGACAATCAGACTGATATGATCGCAGACGGATTTGATTAGAAAGGAATTGCGACAGCACGCTCGTATAGTTATGCTTATTAGTTGAAGGTCACACGTTACATCGTATTTGCGGTGAATTTCTAAACATGTTCTGTAAGATCACCTTCGTTCAATATCGAGAAATACGCTTTGCAAAATATTCAGTATAATATGTAAATTATTACATTATTTGGAATGTTATTTAGTATCGTGGAATTTTGATCGTATGAATTTGCGCGTTAAATATCCACGAAAAGTGTTATAATTGTGAATATTATACGCGAGAAATTTCAATATAAATGCTAAATTCAAGGTACAAGAAAGAGCCGAGTTTCGTAAGTGATATCAAATATAGATTTAAAGATTTACAGCAATTAAGATTCAAGCTGTACTTGAATTGGTAACACTGATATACATATATCGTGTAATCTATATAAATGAAATTTATAAATGCGCTCTATGGCGAATAGAACATAAAATATTCCACATTTGTTTACGTGGCACCGCTAAAGTCAATCGATACATTCACACTATATATATCATATCATAAAATTTTCCATTATTCTCTAATCAATTCATACATGCCAGTTGCCACTTTATTCTTATGTTATATTTAATGTATCGATCTCCAAATAATATTCGATTATTCATGCAATCAAGCATAATTTATACGAGAGCATGCACGAAATATCTGAAGCAACCTTTGCACACGAAAATTCGATATTTTGAATTATCGAAATAGTATACTGAAATAGTATATCGAAATAGTATCAGATTATTTCGACGCTATACACGGATGAAAAAAATAAGAGGAAAAAGAGAACAAAAAAAAGTATGCGCAACTAAACGCGCGAAACATTTTGCATTTATCGCATATTTGCATCGCGGCGAATACTACAAGCGTGAACGTCCCCCGTTCGCCGTGAACCCGCCGCGGAATTCGGCATGCTTCAAAATTGCATCGTGGCGCATTCCGCGTTTCGATGATTTTCAGTCGATGCCGGTCGGTCGAAGGCCGTTCGGAGCGATAGCCACGCATCGCGAACGCATCGGCGAGCGAGTTTCTCGCGCGCTTTCCGCGAGACAATAAGCGCGAGGGGGAGCGGAAGGGGGGAGGAGAGGGAAGGCGCGGTTTCGCAATAAAAAGGCTCCGGCTTACCGTTATCATCGCCGCTTGGAATTCCTACCTTTATACGCGACGTGACTTCGCGTATCGTGATATTCCGCTACATCCGCGTCGCCGTAATGGGATACGCAATGCGTGCGTGCGCGAATTAGAAATGCCCAAGTATGCGAGGACTAAGGAGAAGGATACCGATTTCCCCGCCACAGATCTCGCGACGCAACAAGAAAACGCTATCTTATTGATTTCATCATTTTCGTCGATTCCGATGTTGAAATAGTCAGCTTCATTCCTGCAGTAGTGAGTAATCCGATTGACGAATCAAAAGAATGTCGACGCCGATAAAATTCGATAAATCTAATTCTATATATTATATATCTCAAATAATTATTTTTAATATTAATATTTATTTCAATTCGTTGTTCTACTTCTTGAATAACCTACATATCTACAAGAGTTTTTATTAATAATAGAGTTTTTAACGTTGTTAAATTATTGGATCGTTGCACGTAAAGTGTCGGATTCCACAAGATAAGGATCCGTAAGAGAAAGTTGGAAATCGTAGATGATACGATTAAATATGTCAGCAAATAATCTCGTCGGAAGAGCACTCATGGTACGCTACGCGAAGTAACACTTTCTTTGAGTCGAGAAAAAGAGAAAAACCGGGAATATCGACGAGAGAGATTGTGGGTCAGCAACGCTCATCGCGACGTTCCACTTTCTCCTTTCTTCGGTTTTCGTAGACGGAAGGTCCACGACCTCATAACCGGTTTCAGTTACGACTATTACTTCAACGAAAATTGTGAAAGTTGCTTCCGTTTTTGTTCAATGCGATTACAATGTGACCTTCTCTTACTCCAAAAATACTATTACAAAAAACTCGCGACAAGAGTAGTTCATCATACAAAAATATATAGAGAAGGGATACTTTTTTTCTATATTAAATGTAATATCTTTTTTTACATTAAATTCTAATATTAAATAAAATTTTGTTCGTTAAAAGTTTAGAGTTTTCATTACATACTTCTATAAATTAAATTAATATTTTCCAAGTTTAAAGCTTAAAGACATTTTCATTTCTCGAACGTATTTGAAAAAACACGGATGAAACATGAGTGACAATGATCTCCGGCCTACAGCTACACGGTCAACCGTGCCAATTTGTAAGAACGAATGGTTAAACGCAGATCACGATAGGAAAAACATCCCGGTGGAATCTGCGTAATCGATTCTTCATGCAAATGAGAGTCGCTGCGCGCTATTACAACGCGGAGAAGCCGGACTCGCATGGGTGTACGCACTAATCGATTCTCGCGATCGGAACGAGACGAGAGAAGCGGAGCTTTGCGAGGGATTACTACGATTATCCGAATAATTACCCCCTGAGCTTCGGGGACGGGGCGGCAAATAAAGCCGGCCTCGATCGTCGGCCAAATTCGTATTCCATCTGCGCATTCGGTTATACCGGCTGACATTTGTGTGGATAATCAACATCCCATTCCCTCCTAAGTCTCGAAAGCTCTATCAACCGGTAAGTAAATAAGTAAACAAAATTCAGCGAGACAATAAATGACAGAGATTAAGTTATTAATTACTAAAAAAAAAAAAAAAAAACAAGACTGGTCTTTATACTCAGATTTTCAATTTCGCGAAATCATTACTTCTCGTTACTTTTTGATATGTCAACGCTCATTCAAAGCGAAGATCCGGTTAGTTTTCAATTTCGTTTAATCCGAGTCGCGTCGCTTCCGATTCATACCGATGGACGTTAATAAAAGAAGCGAATTGGCTGATCGCCACGCTCCGATAAATAGCGAATTGTTCGTTTTTTTCCGTTTACGCGGCTATTAGATATGGTTTATTGTGGAGAATTCCAGCAATGTTCCGGACGCCCGCGTTATCTTCTGGAAGATCGCGAATGGCAGCCGGATGGAATCGAATTGCAGCAATATAAAGACAGAACTTGTATGTGTGTTTGTTGTGAGAGTAATATTTTAATGTCGATAAGTTCAGATTTTTCACGTTAAAGATACGGAAGCGACCTATAATAACCCGTTTATTACAACGTCAGACACTTTCTATCACGCAACAGACGGCAATTTAAAGTATATTTAAATAACATAAAAGTAAAACTCGCTTAAAAATTGCATTAGAGATCCTAAATAGTTTTGCAAATCTGTTCTGTTATCCAAAAATAATTCATAAAGCTACAGAATAAATTTGCGCTCTTGATTCACTTGAATATCGAAGGAAAACAGATAACGCGAAAGGTTCGCCTCTATATTCGTCGTTTTGCCGTACTCGAGACCTACCGTGAAATTACCGTAAATATATCGCTTTCTACGAGGGCCTCCTCAACAAGTAAGAAGCGGCGGTAAAAAAATTAACAAGGCAATAATGAAGACTCACCGAGCGCCTTGCAGCTTGCACCATGCAGGAGAAGGGATTCCCCGGCAAGCTGAATGATGGCCATGAGAATATCGCCCATCATCAGACAGGCGACATGATGAGTCTGGCAACGCCAATGCAGAACGTGATGAGAGGCCGGTAGTAACCAACCGGCCGCCAAGGTGGCGGCCAGAAAGACGGCGCTAATGATGAAGCCCACGGGATACAGGGTGAATCTGATGTCCGTCGCTTTCACCCCAGGTCTGAAAAAAAATTCGAGAAGATTAGGACGCCAGTCTTTATCCAAATCTCTTGGACGTAAAAAACATAAAAATCTAAAAACTTCATTTAAAAGTCATGAGATTTAATGAGCCGATAATATAATCGGCGAAAGAGATAGAGAATTGTTCTGTTTGCAATAATTTTTCCTTTTTTAATTTCAAATATTTGTTCATCGGTCTCCGTCATTCGCATATAATAATCATACGATTGTATCATCAGACAACGATCAATATAACATATGTACATATTAAATAACAGAATCGTTTAATTTGAGTTACTATGATATTACGCTTTATTATGTGTTTACATATAAATGGAAGGCCTAAATGAACACGTAATTTATATCTGCGACAATTAACGACAAACTTCGAATTCAAACAATGTACAATTTATTAATCGATATCGTGCAGTGACAATTAAACGTAAAAAAAAATAATAAAAATTTACCGTTACGTACACGTACATACTTTTATCGTAAATTCCTCTTTTCTCTATTTCCACAGTTCAAATCTTTTTTTTTTTTTAACGTGTGTGGTGGCGGAAAGGAAGGTTAGCATACATTTAACATGCAAATTCCGGTGTCGGTCCTGTCGATATTTTCCACTACCTACGGACAAAAAGTCGCGAAAGAAAAAGGCGAATTATGGCGCAATTTCTCGTTATTTCTCGCGCTGGCGGATTAATTAAATTCGGGCAGTTTTATCGGCGTCACATCGGCAATTGACCGATTGGCTTACTGCCAGCCGTGGGCAGCGAGCCAGATATTCGATCGATTATAACGGAAATAATACCGCGTTATCGGCGATCGTTACGTCCGTTTTTAATTAAGATTTCTGAAAGATTCGGGTGAAACACATTTCTCATCGCGACTAATGACATAACGATGCGACCGCATTTAGGACGGATTTCCGTTTTTGGGATCGTTTACGGTGATTTTAAATCGCATCGATCACACGTACGTAATGTGAGTGAAAGTCGAGGGGAAAGCACTTCCAAGATTTCCAAAGATTTGACTCAGTATTTACTGGAAACTTTCGTGAGCTAAAAAAATCTACGTGCGTCATAGACGTTATTTAAATACTCTATAATAAAGATATATATTGCAGAAATATACATGTATTTACGATAATAAGATGAAACGTGCGTCCAAGAAATTGTAAAAATTGCGCTTTATTTCTGACTTGTCGTAAAATAATACGTAATAATTTTTGCTTTAAAATCTGTTCGCGTTCCAAGTGCAACACGTGCATTTAACGCACGTATCGTCGAAGATTGATTTTATCCAATTTTTGAGAAAAGTCGCAATAACTCACCGACTCTATTTGCAAAGCATTCGCGATGAAAAAAAAAAATCCATCGCGTCCGACCATGTTTTGTTCCATTGATTGCCGTTCGCTGAAGTAGTTGGCGAGTAAATTTTTCACGGGAAACAAAATGCTGTGTGTCAGCCGACCCGTATGCACACGCACGTGTAGGTACAAACGCAAATAGAATACGAACGGAGTAACTTTCTGCAAAATCGGTCCTGCATTGGGCGCAAATGCGCGGCGCTAATCGCATTTTCGACGTTACTTTATGCACCTAACGGCGATTAAACTTTTCCCATAAATTCTCTCCGGTAATTTTCGTTAAACACCGCGCCGCGGCGGCGACACTTCGAATCCGGGAGATAAACACGGTTCATTGGTACACTATCCCCGGTAGCGACACATTCTACACTCTAGCCGGGAATTCTCGCTATATATATACATGTATGTACTACGCGACACTACATGACACTACGTCTGTACCGAGCGGAAACTCCCGGATCTTACTATCAGCGATGTCCTGCATGTCTGTCCGTCAATCCATCACGGTTCGTCCTTCGTCTTAGCGGGACGCACGTGTCTCGGCGAGTGAGATCTTCTAACCCTATCTTACGTTACGTGACGTACAGATGCCGTAAATCACCTGACGTTTTAGCACGTTGAATTGTTATAATATATATCTAATACGAAAATACCCGCGTATCGCTATAGCTTTTGACAACGCCTGCATAAAGACTCGCAATGATTTCGCGTTTATTTCTAGATAGAAAAATTTCAGATAACGTCTCAGCTCTATTGAGAAATATTATTACTTTGAGAATATATAATTTCGCTTTTTACGTAACAACAATGTAACATTAGCATTTTCTTATATTTGCGGATTCACGTAACAGAATCATCACGGAATTATTTTTTAAAACATTCAGAGAATTCTAGAAAGAAGAGATCAAAACTTTAATTATAATGAAATTCTGAGAAATAACGGGACGAGAAAAAAAACTTCCGCGCAGAGGTATGACAATGCCATTTTTCTTACGCAACACCCGCGAGCAGATGCGTTTATACATCGCTCATCGCTCCGGTGCGCGGAAACGCCGGTATCCAGTTGTGAGAACGTTTTAATGGAATCTCGGATAACGTGGGATCTCGGACACACGCGACCTAGAAAATACCTGGCGAGGAGCAATGAAAGTGAGGTAGGGCCCGGGAACGTTTCCCTCACATGTCGTCCCGAGAAAACGACGTAGAAACGGGACCGTTTATCCCTCGCTCCAGCCACCTAACGTCGAACGCGCAATTAAGTCGTGCGATAAATTCAGATCGGAGCAGGCGATACTTAACGGGGCAAAAAGTCGGATCGTGCTTGGAGTGCCTTAAAGTGGGTCGGACGACCGACTTGACCGCCGGAACCGGAGCCGCGAGTCGACTTCATTCTTCATTACGCGGGACGAATGAGCGATGATCGAGCGAATAAGAAGAACAGAGGATTAGCTTTGCATAATTGAGGGATCGATATTCCAACTTCCTGCGATTTACGCGTGCGCCTGATATCGAGTTATCGGTCAGAACGGCACGCTTACGGAATATATTACATTAATAGCGTAACGTATTACAGAAAAAAAAACTGAAGACTTATTGCTGATTTAAAAAAAATAAAAATGTCAGACGAGATCGCGGGTAACAAAAACAAGAATTTATTTTGGTAATTTTCTTAATTTACGACGCATTTTTTAATTTGTTAGAAAGCAAAATAATATTATAGTAAATTTTGTTAGGCTAATTAAATTCAGACAAGATTTACATGCTTAAAACAGTGCGAATAACGTCGCAGTGTAGTAAAAAACAATTATTGAACTTTTATATCATGAAATACCAACAATACTTTCCAAGTCCGAGATATCAGAAGCAAATAATGGAAGATAAGAATCCTTCAGTTATCCAAGACTTTTACCTATCTTTGGACGTTCTTTTGCCCTTGCAAGTTCCATTTCAGGTAACATGGTAATTAGAAGGCAGAGAAATGTTATATTAACGCGCAGAGAAATTTCTTATCATTGCTTGTAAATAGGCATTTGTAAGGTGGCGTAAACACCGAAAAATGCAGCAAGAATGAAAATACATCGCATAGACATACAATTTCAATCTCGCACTGACCTTTGTGGTGCGTGCTCCGAACAGGCAAACACCTTGGCGATCTGATTGAGTTCCTTAATCCTCTCGATGCAAAACTGGCTGCTAGGTAAAATGACCCCGTTTATCTCCAGGCTGCCATCGGGCTGTAGCGCAGCGTCCATCGCGTTTCCGACAATCGTGAAATTATCGGATTTCGGGCAGGTCGGGAAACCGGTCACAATCTCGACAGCGGATGATACGTTTGGGAGCAGAGGCGGTGCGTCCACCGTCTCTTTTATGAATACGCACGTATTTCTGTTGACACAAAGAAGAATACCTATATTAGTGACGGAACTCGAAAAAATGAGAAACTGTAAAGGCATTTGACCGTAAACAGTTTTCCAGCCACTTCGCAAGTGTTTCTTTGAATGATCGGCAGACTAAGATGTTACGATGTCAATGATTATAATAGTGTTACAAAAAAATTGCCTTTTAGTCCCTTTAATAGTTCCCGGGAATAGTCATTTTTCTTCCATAAACGATTACGAAGCAATTTTGCATCCTAATTAAAAGTCATTATTGTTAACTATATTATATATTATATTGATTGTTTTACAATTTATTAATATTTGAGAGATTATATATTTATATAGATCTACGCAACATTTTCTAAGAAAGTAAGAAAAAATAAAATATGATAAGATATGAATTCTCGTTCAGAAAAGAAAATTATTGCGATTGAGTTTCATTTTCTTGCTGCCGGCTATTTCCGAGACGAATAATCACGTATTATACACAGATGCAGGAAAGAGATTGACAATAAATTTCTTCTATATATCAGCATTATTAAATTACGTGTCAGCCGCATTATATGATTTAATTTTTATAAAACTAATGTGATATTGTCGAATGGTTCACGTATTTTGTTGACATAAATGCTAGAATTCGCCAGGAAACTAACCTGCGTATTCAATGTCAACATTCTCGAACAAAAACCGAATGTTTCGTAAACACCAAGGTCACTCTGCATGTGTCTAACGCATTTCACTCAAACGGTACTTGCTAAATAAACAAGTAGCTACCCAATGTTTGAGTCATAGAGACTTACGAAATTCATTACTGTTTCATCAAAGAGATGAATCGTCAACTAAAACATTTATTCTGTAACATCCGGATAAGAGACTAAAAAATTATTGATACCATTATATAAAAAATTATTTTAGATATCATTAATATATAATATTTATATTTATCACATTGAATTCTCGAATTGATTTGTTCGTTTTTTATTCAATACATTAAAATAATTTATCCCAGATTGAATTTTTTCGTTTACGTATTACATGCGATTAGTCAATTCTGAATATAAACATTTATAAATAACCTCGTATATCATTTTTATTTATTTTACAATTAAGAAATTTTATTAAAATTTATAATTAGATATTTCTTTTTCGAGTTCCAAGACGTCGTTTCGATTCAATTTCTTGTAACTTTTGAAAATGAGAAAAAAGATTTTAATCGGAAATTAATTGCTTGTGTTATTAGATATCTAATTTTTTTCAATTTTTTAATTCGTCGGAGCACTCTTTTTCGATGTGTATTTAAAAGAAATCTAATCGTTAATCTCGAAAATGCGTGTAACATCCACAATTAACATTTACATTCTCCTAATCTTTCTGCTTCAACAGAAAATGAAATGATAAATACAACATTAATAAACATCCCGTTCCCTCATGGGCAACATTTGTAACTTTAAATAATCGTCGTACTACATCTGACACATTTTTACTTCCAGTCACTTTTTTCTAGAGTCCAGTAAAAGGCTAAGTTCTAAGAAACATAGGTCCACCGGTCTTTTAACATGATTACCTCTCTAACCTAACCTAACCTAATTCTTCGTATCATTTAAACCAAGCCGATCAGTAAAGTTAAGAAACTTGCTGCAAGATACCTACCCGTGTTCGTGGAAGCTGGCGTTCTCGCCGCAGCAACGTCGCACTCGCGGCCTCATGGTCGCGGCGGCGTGATTGCCCACCGATTTCTTCGGCATGCACACGAGCATGGCATTCGAATCGGCGCAGTAGTGACTGGCGGAATAGGAGGTTTCCTCGACGTTGCTGAGGTCGAGCACCGCGTTACCGTCGTTGAACAGGATAAACGGGTTGACATGCCGGAAGGGCACGTGGATCAGCTCCCGGTGGTCGTCGCATTTTGGTCGCCGACCGGCGACGATGTGCCACTCGGCGGGTAAGTTCCCAGCGTCAGCATGATCGAGCGTCTGCCGTTCCTTCGAGTAAATCAACGGCATCCACTTGTCCGACGCTGACACGCAGCGCAGTAACGCGTTGTCGTGCGTGTCGCCGTCCGGTCCTTGCAGTTCCTCGCCGTATGGGCAACACTTGAGGACCGTCACCTTCGACCTCGCTAGGTCTTTCGGTTCCGCGAAAACGACCGTCGCGATCGCCGCGACGAGCGCGAATACGAACGCCCCCATGACTCCTGCGACTATGTTCACACTAGTCGCAGCACCTGTTCGCGACCCCTCGGTCCCCTCGCGAAAGAAGCGCGCTGTCGAGGCACAAGTTCACGCAAATCCCAAAAACAATTCGACAGTTGGAGCGATCGCGCGCACCGACATTCGATCACTGCGTCGATGCCATTTCGCGGACGCGAACCGAAGCGATCGAGGACGGAGAGAGTCGAAATCCGGGAAGCAACTATGCGATCGAATTGAGAAAGGAAACCGAGACGAATTAACGAGAGTCGTCTGTCGCGTTTGCTGACAAGCGGGCGCTCGTCGGAACTCGGACGTAGACCCTCCCGTTCGAAGGCTTCGGCGTTACTGATGCGGTGTGCGAGCAGCACGGACCACGCGGCACGCGGCTCGACTCCGACCCACCGGCGGCGGCAGCGTGACTACGGTATGCGCGCGCAGCCGCGCGCCACGCGCGCTTCCTCCCGCCCTTATTCGACCTTATTCAACCACCGCGCGCTCGCGCGCTTCCTCCTTTCCTCGACGGCGACCTTCACTCGCGTCGCTCCGGCCGACGAAGGGGGCGAGAATTCCGCGACCACGTGCCTGCGCCCCGCTACCCACTACCCGCTACAGCCGGAAGTGCAACGGTAACGCGCGTGACGCTATCCCGCGACGAGTTGTATTATAATCGAATGTCGCACACAAATCGGTGGGGAGACTCGACTGCTCGTTCAATCTTCCATTGGCTTTGTCGAAATTCTCTTAACACGGGACAAAACGAATTCGTCGTTTTTTATCCAATGTTTATCGATTTGGACGGATGAAAACTAACCGTTTAATAGCCCGATATGCAATTTAACGACGTAACGATATATTTCTCGCTTGTGAATGGTGTGCTAAAAGATATCGAGAGCATGCATTTATTTTTTTAAATGTAATAGAATGTTTGCGCAATCTAAAATTTATAATTATAAAGGTTGGAAATTCAGATATTACAACTTTTGTAGATACAACATAGCGATCTAAAATTTATAATTATAAAGGTTGGAAATTTAGATATTGCAACTTTTGTGATTAATAAACCTAGAACATGCTTAAACACAAACAAATTGCGAGTTAAAATGCGTGCGTCTTAGTTTATGGATTCGCGCGTTTTCAAACATTTCTAAATCTTTGCAACGTGTCCGTTAATTACATATTTGCTCATTTTTGCCGGAGGCAACACTTCCACGAGATACTGATCGCCAACGAACGCGTAAATATATCACGAATATATTGAATACATCCTGGAAATTAGAGATCTTTACGATCCGCGCGGAGGTTTCTCGACGGGATAACGGCGGAAAATATACAACACGCGAAGTGAATCGAAGACGATCTGAAATATGCACTTGGCGGTATGACTAAGCATACATCCTTGCAAGATATTTCTGAGAATCGTTTCCGTCGGCTGGTAGAAATCTGTGGGAAAATATACAAGCGCGTGTCCTCGTCCGCTACCTCGATAGAGCAAGCGTCATCCCGGAACGTAACGGACGATATGCGGTATATCCAGGCGCTCTCCGGATAGTATATATCAAGCGACGAAGCTTCCTGGATCGAGCAACTCACCTGGCAGGCACGACCTGCTTCTTCGGCGAAACGAGCGGATAACTGCTCGATCGCGCGCCGAAGGTCGACGGCGATTACGACCGGGGAATCGGCGTAACAGCATTTAAGATCGACTCCGTAAAACACACGCGGTACGAGTGCGGCTGGTGGAACATCACCTCGTGTGGGAAGTGATACCAGCTCGTTGGTTGTAATTTACACTCGTTGGGCGTAAAACGGCTGTGCTGCCATCGATTCCACAAAGAGGTTCTCGGGAACTTGCTTACGCTACTTTCTAAAATTAATGACCAAGACATCGGAACTGTATGAGACAATACCCATGTCTTGTACAGAATAGATATGCACATAGAGTTATATAATGCCATAGAACATATATCGTATATGGTGGCATACTCAGGACATGTGCTTCCTGTCTAAAATATTTCACGACTATTGGTTATTCTATAGACATTATTTCGAAATAGCTGGAAGTAAGTAAATTTTGTAGTTGCGACGTTGATGTCAATATTTGACAAATAATAATCACATAATCATTATTTGTTTATTTATAACATATTACAATAAATAATTATTCATTTACTTAATACTATAATATATATGTGTATGTCATATATAAAATACACAATAAACATACGTATAATACAAAAGAAGGGCGAGTATGTAAATAATTATAAAAATTATTTACATACTTGTACGTTACATATATATTTAAATTTATATAAAATAAGTAATACTAAATTTTATTGTATATAATAAATAATATTTGTAAAGTAAAATATACCAAAGATATTTCTCAAATAACCAACAGCCAGTTGGGATGCGAACATTTAAATAAACAGCACACGTTCCAAATATACCCCGATATGAATTCAAGCGTTAAAGCTTATGACTTCGTGCGTATGTAAAAATTTAGCAAAAAGCACATTCTACGTTTCATAAAAAACCTTTTTAAAACAATATCCTCTCGTTTACCGCGAAACCGCAGTTTTTGTCCAATTTTCCTCGAGAGGGCCGGCAAAAAACGGCCGTTCAAGTCGACCGGAAATGCTTTAAAAAGTTCCGCGCGAGCAGCGCCAGCGGGACGCCGGCAATTAAACTTTTTCGCCATCTCGCGACAGAGAAAATTGGAAATTTGTGTCCCCGCTACGGCCGCCTACCGGCGTCTGCGAAATTTTATCAATTAAAATATCGTTAACGTCCACGCCGCCTAGCCGAAACGAGCTCGTTAAAACGCTTCCGCGTTCGCGCAGGATAACTGCCTAGGTGAGCTCTTTCTTGTTCTAGCTTGGAACTTCCGCCAAGACTTGAGAATAGAACGAGTTTAATCATCGATTTTTTTTATCGCGGCCAGAATAGATAAAGTTCTAGGATTTGATAAAACGTATTTAGAGCTGCTGCATTGTATAATCAAAATTAATTGAATTTTTACTTCCATAAGAATTTTTCATATTACCAGAGCAACTGAATATGTCATTTTTATTATAATACAATTATAATATGATAAAAGTATTTTCTTTTTCATTTTAAGAAAATGCAATGTTTCAATAATGTTTTATATTTACTTATTTTAGATTTACTTGATTTATATTAAGTTTAAGTAAATATTCAAAATTTATTTAAAGCTATATTTACTAATTTTTAATAGCGAGTATTATTAATATTTACCTTAGCGGATTACGCATGATAAATTCAGCTTGAACATAAAATTTTGATTAATTTTTATATGAATTTAATATTTGAAGTTATAATAAAGAATTAATTTAAAAATGGCATATTAAAATTGTTACAAAAATAAATTTTGTCAGCACGATATGAGAATTAGTGACCTACTAATATTTAATGATTTTATTCTGATATATTAATTAAATGTAACATGACGTATTCGTGCGCGCACGTGTGTGTAGAAAGTTTTACTATAGAAAGAGCCTTTTTGATACAAAAACATTTTAGCCTTGTAGAACTATCGCGTTATTCTAAAATTCCATTAAATTAATATTACTGTATCATTGAATGAGAATATCAAAACTTCCGTTGAAACTTGGAGTAGAATTGAGAATTATTTCCGTCGTAGGTAACACACAGAGAATATATCAGGAAGCTGGGCCATTTTCCAAAATTTCATAGCAACGTGCGGGTGCAGAGGTTAATAGGATGGCACGAAATTCAGATAGGGAGAGAGTAGCAGGAGGTGGTATCGTGGCGGCACGTAAATCACGGCGATCGTCGGCGTTTCTGCGCGCGTGTATTCTATGTGTGAGTATAGTGCGCCCGCGCGCGGCCGGACGCGTGAGCGTGCGTTCGTTAATAGGTTTGCACGTGCGTGTCCCTAAACGTAATACCGATTTTATCTGCCCCCTTGTCTACGCAAGCCGGTTGGTCGGTTGGTCGGCCGGCCGGCGCGGCGGACGCGGAGGGTAGAGAGCGGCAGCCAGAGAGTTTGATCCAGGTTGTGATCCCGGAAGTCGAAACTGCGAAATTGTCCTGTCGGATTGATCGCCGATCGTTAAAAGTGGTCGAGCGAAATATCGCGCGTACGTCAAACGTAAAAACGAAGCGCCCGCGTCGATGACGGTGTGACAGCGGCGTTTCCGCTATCGCGTCACGGAAGATAATCGAATCCGGCTAATTTCGCTTCGCTAATGAGAGGGTCACCGCTGTAAAATACTGTGGCGCGTGCACTGTAAACAAACGCAATACAGTAATATTCCGTGCGGAGGATATTTTATCTGGATGCCACCTCTCTCTCCGCGGACTAATTGAATATCGGCGTTATCGATGTTGTTTCGCTTGCGAAAGCCTTTTCTCCGAATTACAAAACGTAATGAAACGCGATGTGTATCTCGTCATGCAACAGTCAGTTAAAATGACATAACATGCGCGAGAGATAATGTTCATTATTTTTTTATTTATACGACGGTGGATTCGAGCTTCCCCGATATATTTAGTTTATATATTTGTATGCAAAACAGTTTCCCAATATTTACTTTTTATTGCATTTAATTGATTATATATATTGACATTATGTACAAAATTTAAAGTTAAACAGAGATTTAGTAGTTAAAATATTTTGTTCGAACTTTGTATTTGCGCATTTATGATACATTTGTAATACATTATAATATAAAGACATTTTACACACTAATTATATATAAGTACTAATTATAAGCTTGACAGTATAAATCCATTTGTTTTTTATTAAAAGCGCATAGAACTTTACAATTGACTGTGTTAATTTAATATTATATAGTCATTTTATTATGTAATATATATATGCATATATAATTTAAGTTATATATCTAATATGATTAAAAATATTGTATGTAATATTGTTTACATACATATATATATATATATTACACATATAAATATAATATCCCGAAATGGATTATCATTTACCTCATGTTCCTTCGCTCAGAATCCTCTAAGAGAATCAATTTATCATTTTCTATATTTTTTTCCATGTTCATCAGAATGAATTATCTTTTTTTGCTTATATTGCACTATATAAATGATGAAAGTAATTGTAGACTAAGTAAAATTTCTATTAAAATTGCGACACTTTTATTAAAGATATTATAGATACAAAAATGTGCGTAATTACTAACTCCAACTTTTATTGAGATGTTTATTTAAACTTATAATGCGAGATGTTCTCGGAACTACAAGTAAAGTGAAAATATTTTGCTCGACGACACTTACGACGGCTCTGAGGGAGCGAATAAATATGCAATGTAGTTATAATAAATACAGA